ATCCTCCTTAGAGGGCATCTTCTTCTCGCTGAGATTCCTGCATCGCAGGGGGTTGGACTAGATGACCCTTGGGGGTCCCTTCCAATTCTGTGATTCTGCGAGTTTAACTGAACTGGTTGACACAGAACGGTGGAGTTGGGAACCCCAAAGGTCATCCACTCCAACCCCCTGCGATGTAGGTTGGGGGGTCCGGCAGTGGAGAGAAAAGGCTCGTCACTCCCCCCCCCAGACACTGGTTCACCTCTCCCCGCTTTGTCCCCCCGGCAGACCCCTCTGGGGCCCTGTGGGGCGGTCAGGCCTCGGCCACCCCCCCGCCCTGGCTGAGTCCGGATGCCAGCGAGGCTGAATCCTCCTGCGAGATCAACGCTTACGCGCCGCAAGAGTCCCACTTTGTCCCCTGGGCGGAGGGGCTGGCGGGCGGAGGGGGCTGCCCCCGCGCCCTGGAGAGGGGCAAGTGGCTCATCGCCAGCATCCAGGCCCCCGACGCCGAGTTCGGGGTCAGCAGCGTCCTGCACACTGAGGAGGCCCTGCCTTGGAAGCAGCAGGATGGGGTCAGCAGCGTCACCACCACCGCAGGTACCACCTGGTGAGCGGAAGGGGAGCAGCCGAGCGGCCTAGCGGTTAGAGCCCTGCGCCAGCAGCCTGGGAGAGAGGGACCGAGGGCCAGTCGGTGCTCCTCAGGCAGGCCTGCCTGGCAGGGTCAGCGCGGGGGAAGGGGAGGGGAAGGGGATGGAGGCCGCCTTGAGCCCCTGGGAGGAGAAGGCGGGGCAGAAAGGCCATGATTTAAATGAGGAATGTCCAATGTCATCGGTTCCACCCTCCTGGGGGGCGGGAGATAGGGGGCACCGTGGGGCAAGCGGAAAGCAGAAATCTCTGGATCAAATGCATCTGCTGGGTTGACTACTTGAGGTCAACCGAGCGCAGCGTTTGATTGGCAGAGGCGCCGTCACTTGACCTCTTCCTCCCGTTGCCGGGAGTCTCAGTTTTGTGGGGGGTTCCGGCTTTGCGGCAGGTGCTTAAATGGCTGGGCCTCATCCTGCCCAGGGCCCGTAGTTTGCCGACCCCTGATTCAGAATCTATTAAGACCATGGCAATATTGACAGTAAAAGCAATTGAGAAACCTCCCCACTACTACCTGACGCCTTTGATTGGCAGAACTGGCACTGGCCAATTGACTCCCCTTTCCCACATTTGCCAGTACAAGAAGCTCAGCTGGGAGAGCCTGAGACTCTTGATTTCAGGGTTCTGGGTTCAAGATTCCTGCCTTGCGGGGGGTTGGACTAGATGACCCTCGGTGTCCCTCCCGGCTCCAAGGCTCTTTGGAACTCCCTGCCTCTTGATACCAACCAGGCGCCTTGGCCAGACTCTCTTTGGTCGCCTGCTAAAAACATCCCTGCCCAGCGGCTCAGAAATGTTGATCTTTAGCTTTCTGCATGCTTTCAAGTATTCCTGTCCATTTCGTTGGGTTTTCTGGTCATTAACCTTTCCCTGCTTCATTTTCCTCCTCGTCGAGTTCTCTTGATTACTCATTTTTCTATTCTTTTAAAAACATATCTCTGTGCCACTCACTGAGAGGCAGTGTGGTGCAGTGGTGAGAGGGCCAGACTAGGCCCTGGCAGAGATGTGGGTTCAAATCCCCAGTCCCTGGCCATGGTGAAGCTCGCAGGGGGGGGCGGGGGGGGTAAGGATCCAGTCTGCCTGCTTCACAGGGTTGTTGTGGAGCAATTCCTGCAATTGCAACCCCCAGCCAGCTAACGTTTTCTCTCCGAATCGGGTCAGAATCTCATGGATTTCTCTTCTTTCTGCAGTAACGGACTTTGGGCAACCCAGCTCCCGGCTTGGTTTGTTGCCTGTCTCCAGATCCCATTGAAAGGGCAAAGTGGATCGTAGGCCCCCGGACTCCTGGGTCCCCCCTCTTTCGCTGCCCAGTCTTGCCCCACCGGTCCCTTGTTGGAAGCCCCCTTCCCCTTCCTTTTTGGGGTCAGGGGTCTGCTTGGCTTCGCATCCTGCAGATTCACAGCTGTGATTTTAAGGAGGGGGCCAGATCTGTGCATAGCAAAAGCCCCCCTTTCTGGCAGTCCCTGCCCCTCCTCACTTCCGTGCTGTGAAATTATTTAAGTGTAGAATTGGGAGGGGGCCCTGAGGGTCATCTAGTCCAACCCCCCGCAGGACAGGAATTGCAACAAAAGCATCTCTGAAATCTGACTGCACATGCTCTGGGAGACTCTTGACGGGGGCCTGTGTTCTCTTTGGGATTGTGGGAGAGAACCTTTTTGGAGTAGGGGACACTGACTTGAGCAAGATTGGCATATCCCAATCTGAGCAGGTGGCAGGATCCGCAGGCCACATTTACAAGCCTGGTGGGCCAGATCCAGCCCGTGGACCGTAGTTGGAAGATGCCTGGTATCCTCCATTTTTGGAGGGCCAGGAAGTGAGTGGTCCCTGCAGCTTCGCCTGCTGGAAAGGGGGCGACATGCAAGAGGCCAGCCTGGCAGGGTTGTTGTGGAAGGAGGAGCTCCTGGGAGGAAAGGAGGTGCCAGGGAAATGCCATTCTGTCAGTAAAGTGCCTCCGTCTCTCATTCCAGGTGTGTGTGGGAGGGCACACAACCGTATTTTTCTGTGTATAAGATGAGCTTTTTTGACCCCAAAATGAGGTTCAAAATTTACACAGGTAGTAATGGGGCGGGGAGGGGAATGCCAAAAATCGCTCGCCCACCAGCAAGCAGGATCGGGATTGGCAGATATATGTAAATATACAGCCAGCAAAAGGGGATTCAGGGCAACAACGGAAACTATTAACCATGCAACCTACGATCTCGTAAGAGGGAGACTCTGAGGAAAGGGGATTAAGATGCCTTCTTCCCCATCCCCAGTGGATTAAAATGTCCAAAGATTAGGAAAAGAAGAGGAGGAAGCAGGATTGGATGAACATTCAAAGAGACCGTAATTTGGGATTGTGACTCGGCTGAGATTTGTTGGAACAGTTTTAATAAGGCTTTACTGAAACTGGAGAAATACCAATTTGGATTATTAGACAATCATTATAAGAGTCATATTGAACTGTCTGAGTGGATAAGATGTGAAGGCTGGGCTAGGGAGGGAGATGTAGGATGTAGGAAAAGTCATCTTGCTGAAGGGTAGGAAAAAGGCTGGATACTAAATGCAGCTGGGATTATTCTGGAGAGCATATTCTGAATAATTGCTGCTACAGATGATTTTCAGACGGCTATGGGAGTTTCCTTTTCATCTCTTTTTGTATTTTTTATATTAAGATGCCTTTATTTTGAATTTAGGACACACACAGGAATAGGAGAGTTGGAGGTGCGAGGGACCTGCAAGGAACGCAGGGAAGGAAGGATCTCTCAGGGTGGGAGATGGGGAGAAGAGGGGGTCACACAGGGGAGAGGTGGGGGTGGCCTGTCTATGGGTTGATGAATGATATGATATATATATGATGATCTTGTCCTCTGTCGCCCCCTTCTCCTTGTGCCCTCCATCTTTCCCAACATCAGGGTCTTTTCCAGGGAGTCTTCTCTTCTCATGAGGTGGCCAAAGTATTGGAACCTCAGCTTCAGGACCTGTCCTTCCAGTGAGCACTCAGGGCTGATTTCCTTCAGAATGGATCGGTTTGATCTTCTTGCAGTCCATGGGACTCTCAAGAGTCTCCTCCAGCACCAGAATTCAAAAGCATCAATTCTTCGGCAATCAGCCTTCTTGATGGTCACACTCTCACTTCCATACATCACTACTGGGAAAACCACAGCTTTAAGTATACCGACCTTTGTTGGCAAGGTGATATGATACAAATGTGATAAAGGGTATTTTTAGTTATCCCCCCCTTTCTCTTTTCTATATAATTGTGTTTTGTAAGCGTTGTTTAATAATTTTAGCTTTAGTATTTTTCTTTTTTGGTTTTCTCTCTGTATGAATTTTTTGATGGGAAGTGAGGCGACCGTTCTGAGTGAAGCTCTTCCCACATTCCAAGCACTGAAATGGTTTCTCCTCTGTGTGAATTCTGTGATGGGAAGTGAGCTCAGGCCCCTGGCTGAAACTCTTCCCACATTCGAAGCAATGATAGGGTTTCTCTCCTGTATGAGTTCTTTGATGGGTTTTGAGATTCGAGCTTTTACTGAAGCTGTTCCCACATTCCAAGCACTGATAGGGTTTCTTCCCGGTATGAATTCTTTGATGAAAAGTGAGACTGTTTCTGACACTAAAGCTCTTCCCACATTCCAAGCACTGATAGGGTTTCTCCCTGGTATGGACTCTTCTATGCAAAGCAAGATCACCTTTCTGACGAAAGCTCTTTCCACATTCCAAGCATTGATGGGGTTTCCCCCCTGTATGAATTCTTTGATGAGAAGAGAGTGTGGCGCTGTGCCTGAAGGTCTTCCCACATTCCAAGCACTGAAACGGTTTCTCGCCTGTATGAATTCTTTGATGAGAAGTGAGTGTCTTACTGTGACTGAAGCTCTTTCCACACTCATGGCATTGAAAAAGTTTCTCCCCTGTATGAATTCTGTGATGGGAGGTGAGATGGGTTACCTGACTGAAGCACTTTCCACATTCCAAGCACTGATAGGGTTTCTCCCCTGTATGAATTCTTTGATGAGAAGAGAATGTGGCACTGTGACTGAAGCTCTTTCCACATTCCAAGCACTGATAGGGTTTCTCCCCTGTATGAATTCTTTGATGGGAAGTGAGATCGTGCCTGAGACTGAAGCTCTTTCCACATTCCAAGCACTGATACGGTTTCTCCCCTGTATGAATTCTTTGATGAGAAGTGAGAGTCTTACTGTGACTGAAGCTCTTTCCACATTCATGGCATTGAAAAGGTTTCTCCCCTGTATGAATTCTTTGATGAGAAGTGAGATGGGTTCCCTGACTGAAGCTCTTTCCACATTCATGGCATTGAAAAGGTTTCTCCCCAGTATGAATTCTGTGATGGGAAGTGAGGTGATCTTTCCGATTGAAGCTCTTTCCACATTCTCTGCACTGATACAATTTCTCCCTACTCTGTGGTCTTTTGTGTGAAGTGAGGCTATCCCTCTGAACGAAGCGCTTTCTTTGATGGGAGGTGGACTGGGAGCTCTGACGGATCTTCTCTCCACACTCTGAATATTTATATGACTTCTCCACTATGTGGATTCTGTTGTGGTCTCCCTTGTTCTTCCCTTCTAATTCATCACTATCTGCAATGAAGAGAGAAGCGAATTAGAGCCTCAGGAAGAAATGGAGCTAAAGTTTATTCAACAACGTTAATGAATGCTTGTGATAGAGGAAGAACTGAAGAGAATTACCGTATTATTCGCACCATAGGACGCACCGGACAATAGGACGCACCTTGTTTTAGAGGGGGGAGAACAAGGGAAAAAAATTCTTCTGCTCTCTGCCCAGCGCCCCTTCAGCAAAGCGGCAGGAGGCTCTGCGCAGAGAGTGGGAGAATTTTCCCCCTTTTGTTTTCCCGCTCTAAAACAAGGTGCCGTTTAAGGCGCGTTCAGGCGGCTACCTTGGAAGCCTGGAGAGCGAGAGGGGTTGGTGCGCACCGACCCCTCTCGCTCTCCAGGCTTCAGGTTCCTTTCGACCTGCTCTTTGGGGCTGGCGGGGGAAGCCCACCACCAGCCCCAAAGAGCAGGTCAGGGAGCAGCGGCCATAGGCGCGCGTCACCTCTCCAGCCGGGAGAGGGTCGCGGGGGGCTGCTTTAGACACGTGCGTGCTCTCCCGCCTGGAGAGGTGACGCGCGCCTATGGAGGCTCCTGCCATAGGCGCGTGTCACCTCTCCAGCCGGGAGAGGGTCGCGGGGGGCTGCTTTAGCCCCCTGCGTGCTCAATTGTTTCAATTGTGGACAGACTGGGCATCTTCAGCGGAACTGTAAGAGGCCACGTCAACAGAAAGGAGCTAAGGGGAGCTCTGCAAAGCCTGAGGCGTCAGGCAAAAGTCGTACCAAGTCCCAGATGAAACCTGCAAAGGCATTGCTGTCAACAAAAGCCGTATTTTCAACGGAGAACGCTTTTGTTTTAGACACTGGAGCCACCCAACACATGACGTCGTGCCAAGGACTGTTTTCAACATTTAAGAAGCAAAGCTTCGCTGTGAAACAGGCCAATGGCCAGGAGCTGGAAGCGACCGGAGTTGGAACTGTGTATCTTGAGAGTCTGAACTTGACTATTAACAATGTGTATTTGGTTCCTGATTTAAAGTTCAATCCGCTGAGTGTTTCGCAGATCACAAAGAAAGGACTGACTTTGTCCTATGATATAGAAAGCTGCAAAATCTACAAAGATGGAGAGCTGCATCTTTCTGCCAAAGAGAAAGATGGACTGTATTTGTTGACTTTTGATCAAAGTGATTGCATAAAGTGTAATGCATCTGAGTCTAACATGATTTCTCTTGCAGGTATGGCGAACGACGTCCGGAAGACGACGAAAGTTACCAATGCATTTCAGCGAGTGTATGCTGATGTGATTGGTCCTCTAGCCCCATCTAGAGGCAATGCAATATTTTATCTTGTGTGTGTGGATTATTTCACTCATTATGTGTGGATATACACATTGCAGAAACCACAAGAAGCCTTAGAAAGGTTTAAAGAGTTTTGTGACAAGGTTAAAAATGTTCATGATGCTAACATTGATTGTCTTTTCACAGATGAAAAGCCAGTTTTTCTTTTACAGGATTTTCAGGATTTCCTGGATAAGAAAGGGATAAGGCACAAGACTGCTGTTTCTGCAGGAGCATGGAACAAAAGTGACTGTGTGCAAGTGAACAAAGAATTGCAAAATGGGATGAAGGCGCAATTGCCGAGTTCACATTTGCAACATGAGTTTTGGGCGGAATCGCTATTGTGTTTTTGTTACTCGTGGTTGAGAAAGGTTTCAAAAGGTTTAGGATGTTCTCCTTTTGAAAAGCTATTTCACAGAACTTCTGTGGCCCATTTTAAGGTTTTTGGGTCCCAAGTCAGGACCGAAGCTCCAGGTGGAGTAAAGGGTCTCTACAGAGTAATTTTGTCTGAATCTGGTCAGGTGATTCTCACAAAATTTCTAGAGAGTGCTCCTGAACTGGAGAGAGTAATTGTTCACACATTTCCCACTGAGGACAATTCAGATGATGATGATGATGATTTTACTGATTACAGTGGTACTGAGAGTGACAGTGATAGCTCAAAGAGCTCAGTTGACACAGTCATTGAGAGGAAATCTCACACAATGGCTAGACCTTCACAGGTGGAGGATGAACCACTGTTTACTATTGGAACTGGTTCTCCAAAAAGTCCTGAGACTGAACCAGTGAGCAGAGAGGATCAGCACCTCATACGCAGGTCTGAGTTACAAAGGGTGTACCACCCAAGAGGTATTCAAAAGAGTTTGCTAACTCAGCTGTTGCATGTGTTACTATTGTTGACAAGACAGGTTGAAGCTGTGTCTAAGTCAGAGACAAAGACACAACAGGGAGTTGCTAAGCGTAACACTACATTTCCTAGCCAAGGTAATGCAGATGCACTCATTCCTTGGAAGTCAAACAACCAGAGAGGTACACTGGGGAAACCAGTGGCGGGTAGTTCCAAGGGTGGAACTGAAACAACAGGGGAGTGTTATATGTATAACAACTGTTTGTTTTCTTCTCTGGATCAAGCTATGTTCGCAGCGCACATTGATTCTTATGGGGGAGGATTTTATGATAATGAAGCAATGCAGCTGCAAAGTCCTAGCTTGAAGTGTAAACATGATGGGAATGTTGGGACTGCTGTTGGAAGAGAGGGGCAGTCATTTCTCAGTGCGCAGCACCAGAATCACCTCACAGTGTAATATGAGCTGTACAGGATGTACAGGGAGTGTTTGTTACAACACTGCTGGAATTTGGAGAGAGCAGTCACGTTTTCTGTAACACTGCAAAGACAGAAATAAAAGCATGTAAATACGTTTCTGTCTATCTCTTTCCCCTGCCTGGGGGAGGCAGGAAAGAGGGGTGTGTTCTTCTCACGTTTGAGAAGAATCGCCGATCGAGACCTTGCCTGCGTCTGCTGGGGAATTCAGCCAAGGAGGTCATCAGGGAATCAAGCCGGGGTGCCTGGACTGCTGCCAGCTTCTTATGAGAAGGGCTTGAATCCCAACAATATTTCCTGTATGTCAGGGGCGGCCAACTTCCAGGAGACTGCGATCTACTCACAGAATTAAAAACTGGGAGTGATCTACCCCCGTTTTATTGGGGTTCAGGTCAAAGTTGTTCAGCTTTTTTTAGAGAGGGGAAATGCTCCATTTTAGTGGGGTTCCTTTGGGGGAGGGGGATTAGCCGCTGACCAAAACACTGCTGTAGAAGCAGCTAAAACTACGTCTTCCATTCAAGAGCAAAGGACAAAACGCAGAGAGGGAGAGGAGGTGCTCTTAGGCAAAAGCAAAGGAAAAGGAGCCTGTGATCGACCTGTGGGACATCCTGCTGTATGTGATCTTCATTTTTTCCATGTTGATTCCTCATTCCTCCTGTTCTCCATCATGTCCTGCACAGCATTGCAGCTTCTGCTCTTTTGCTCTTTCTTTCCTTTGTTACCAGAGAATGAGGCTGTAATTTCAACTGCGTCACACGCCATCTTCTCTCCCTTTTTTGTTATTGTTTGAGTCTAGATAGAGAGTAATCTGGCGTCCCGCCAAAGCTCTGGCAAGCTTCTCCTTCTGTCCAACTCTCTCAATAACGATCTGGCATCCTGCCAAAGCCTTAGCCGATCATCAAAGCTCAAACTCCATTTCCTTCCATAGCAATACAGTGAAAGCTCAAGACTTTAAATCCATTTCAATTTTGTCACATAGTTCTCTTTTTCGTTGTAATCCATAAATATAATCCCATTCTCTTTTTTCTCCTCTTGCTTTTTATCAGTTTGTTTGCATTCAGGGTGTGTGTGTTTGTGTGTGTGTGTGTGTTGCCAAATCATTTACAGTGGTGCCCCGCAAGACGAATGCCTCGCAAGACGAAAAACCTGCTAGACGAAAGGGTTTTCTGTTTTGGAGGCGCTTCGCTAAACGAATTTCTCTATGGGGTTGCTTCGCAAGACGAAAAAATCTTGCGAGTTCCCGCGGTTTTTTTTCACTCCCCCCCCCTTTTCCTAAGTTGCTAAGCCGCTTAACAGCTGATCCGCTGATAAGCCGCTTAACAGCTGATTGCTAAAAGCCGCTAGACCGCTAATAGCGCTAATCCGCTAAGCTGTCAATGGGCTTGCTTCGCAAGACAAAAAAACCGCTAGACGAAGAGAATCGCGGAACGGATTCTTTTCGTCTTGCGAGGCACCACTGTATGTTGCAAACATGATATATATAAAGAAAAGGTAAAGGCTCCCCCCTCCCCAACAACATACATTTTTCATTGAAGGAAGTCTTCTTCCCAGTTCAAATTGTTTCGGCTTTGTATCTGTTTCAATTTAGCAGTTTATGATCTTGTTCCTTCGGTTCCAGCACACGTCTGTATATTAGTCCTAATTTCATTCTAATCAACGGAATTACCTCTGCTTCTCAATGGCTGCATAGGAAGATTACCGATAGGCAAAGTGCTTTTGCACTCAGCACCTCCCTGCGTCTCGGATTCCATGCTGGAGCGAGAGCCAGGTATCGAGACAATCTGCAAGTGAAGCTCACTCGGCCCGGGCTCTGGGGGGAGCTTGCAAGGAACAATTATGCTCAAATCATCCTTGTTTATTCTTTGCTAACAATCTCTGCTATTGTGGGAGCAGGATCCATTAAGGCAGGCAGGAACCAGAAGCCCCATTTCTAAACAATTCCAGTGATTCCAATTTCAGCTCTTTGCTCCTCACCCCACTTCGTAAGACTGCCATGGTCTGCACAGTAGTGACCAGAGAGTAGATACCATTGGACTCAGTGGGGCTTACTTATGAGTAAATCTGCAGAGGGATGCTCTGCATATTCCCCCTTCTCTTATATCCAGACAAACACTGATTCATGTGCCTGGTGAGTCTTTAGAGCAGACTCATTCCCTCCCTTCCCCCTCTGTCTTTTCTGCTTACCTGGAGGGGGGCGGTTTCCCCCTCTAGCCCCCATGCATCCATTTCCCCTTCTTCACCCCCTGCCACCTAGCAGACCTCTCCCTGCCTCAGACGGTGATGCTGGAGGTGGGGAGAGGAAGAAGCAAAGGGAGTCTCAGAGGCCCTGCAGGGATTTTCCTGCCCTGGATATTCTACAAATGGGGCACCCCTTCCTAACAGTAGCCCCATTTCTAAACATCTCCAGTGGTTCCAGTTTCACCTAGACTTATGGGTTCATGGGGCTCACAGACAGGTCTTGGTGTCCAAACCAGACACCATCCTGTCCCCAAGCCTGAAAACTGCAACCCCAGAGCATCTGCAGAAAATAGACGAGTAGCTATTACCTGTAGGATCCCCCATGCTAGGTGCTTTGTATGGAGAGCCCTGTTGACGCTCTTTGAGCTCTCAATAAGGTCATTCCCCAGATTTCTCAAGTGCAAGGACCCAGGGCTGTCTGAGTTAGGGGGTTCCTTGGGGTCCAGGTCAGCTGCTAGTCAGGATTGTCACCTGCAGAATCTTTGTCAACTAAAGCAGGAAAGTCTGCCTTGGATCGAGGACTTTCTGGAGGTGTTGCTGAATGTGGAAGCAGAGGAGCTGGTGATGCCACATTTTGGAATAATCTTGAGACTAATACACCACTCCTCCATAGATATTCTCTGCGCTTATACACTATATTCACAAACTTTACGCTCCTCTTGTGAGAAGATACCTAAAGGCTTAGGATAGCTTGACAGAAGTAGCTTATTTTGAGACAGCACCCATTTCCAATTTCTTTTTATGAAAACCCTCTCCCTAGTTGGTTTGGTTTTGGCTTCTGACAGGACAGCAGAGCATTTGATAACCTTGCATATAGTTTCATATTGATATAGGGATCTGGTGTGCAGATTCCAGTAGAGTACAAACTTCTAAAGTGTTCTGTCTGGAGCCAGAGCATGAGCTACTCTCAAGCAGGTTAAAAAGCTTTTTAAAGTCAACTTTTTAATATTGCACATTTTTGCTCTTCTTTGTACTTGTAGACCTCCTTTTGCCATGTGGACGAATCAAACCTCCCTTATTGATCTATTTTTAATGGTAGGGAAAGAGATATTGTTGTATTATCTGGTGCCACAGACTCTGCTAGATTTTATTCAGAAGGTTTTACAAGTACCTATCAGGATGGTAAGAATTTTATTACAGTCAGCCAAAAAGGATTTTAGGCGTTCCATGTCCTCTCTTAGTACTACAAGCCACCAAAGACTGATAATCCCTCTTTGGTCCCAGAAGTTTGGGAGTAGCAGTCTTTTACACTTGCTTTAATTTTGAATTTTTCTTTCAGATTAGTTCCTCTACTTGTTTAGCCTGAATTTGGCCTTGAGTCACTTGAGCTCCTGGTCTCAGTGCCAGAGATGACTTAGCAGTTGAGCTGGCTGGGCCCAAAACCTCTTTCTGCTCATCCTTAGAGCTGCTGAGAGATCCTATAAGGTCAGTAATAGGATCTGGCTCCTGCTGTTTCTTAGCCACCTCCTCATTTTCCTTATTCACATAAAATTGAGTAATTTTTGCTTGTGCTTTCTTCAGAGAAGCTCTCTTTGGAGGAGGGTCTGTGGCACTTGGGGAGAGAACATGCATTTTGTAACTACTCTGGGTCAACACTGTCTTTCCCCTTAATTCCTCATCAAGTTTCCTGATATCATTAATAATAATAATAATAATAATAATAATAATAATAATAATAGCCTGAGGAAGAAATTGAGGCTGAAATGACTGAAGAATGCAAATGACTGCTTGTGAAAGAGGAAGAAGGGAAGGGAGTTACTGCCTTTTTTGGCTGATATTATCTAACTTATTTATGGGAACCAGAGATTCAAAAAGCCTGGCTCTTTCCAGGGATGGATTTAATTTGGCTCAATCATGGAATCTGCTCCATCTCCAAGCTCAGTCATTTCTTTGCTCAACCAAAAACAGACAGATGGAGAAAGGGAAAAAGAGAATTAGACAGGATGTACCTCCACGTCCCTGAGATCTCTGAAGCCTACATGGAAGAAGGCCTGGGCAGCTCAGAGCAGCCTCATCCTGGTTGGAAAAGGCAGGACTGGTGGAAGAATATTCCCAGACAGAACAGGAGATGCATCTCCTATGGAGAGTTGTGGGTGTGTTAACATCTCAGATGCTGCAGGTGGCGCTATGGGGCTCCCTCAAAATAGAGGAGGTTTGTCCTTCAGAGATCTGTATGGAATTTCAAAACTGATCTCATGATCCAGCAGGGAGCCTTACCAGAGAGGCCACGATCCCACGATTCTCCTCCTTGACTTCCTTCTGCAGAGCTCTCTGGTCAGGATCCAGCAAAGCCCAGTCCTCCTCTGTGAAAGGAACAGCTACGTCTCAAAGCACACTGGACCCTAAGAGAAAAAGGGAGAAGAAAGATGATCTACACATTGCTCTGTTCTTTTCTGTAACAATTTTGTTGTGTATTTAAATGATGGGTATTAATCTTTGTGTAAGTGGGGGATTCACAGAATAGTAATTTTATTATCTACGCAGCACTCATCTTCAAGTAAATCTTTGCAAGCATTCCCATTTTCCAGATGGAAGGACCTCCTCTTCCTTCATCTGGTGGGGTGGACCCTCCCCCTGCCCTCAAGCCAACTTCAAGGGGCACCAGGAGGGGGAGGGGAGGGAATGTTGGTTGGTTGGCATCCATCTGTCTTAGGAGACCATGGAAGAGTGTGTCTTTGGGAGTGAGATCCAGTTGTTGGAAGGTAACAGCGCCAGCCGTGGGTGTGGAGACCGACAGGGGAGAGACATAAACAACTACCTGACATTCAGAAGACATCTTAAGGCAGCCCTGTTCAGGGAAATTTTTAATGTATGACATCATAGTGTATTTTTCGTTTTTGTGGAAGCCGCCCAGAGTGGCTGGGGAAACTCGGCCAGATGGGCGGGGTACAAATAATAAATTATTATTATTATTATTTTGTATAATATAATATTGTTGCACCTGGGACACAGGAAGTGGTGCAGTTGTGCTGCTGCAGATGCAGACGGGCTTTTCTTCTCCCTGTGCTCCCCCCACGTGGGAATGTTCCCCTCTGGCTGCAGCCTCTGTTCTTAAATGTGACTTTCCCCTTCCTCTGAAGGGGGTTTATTTTCTTGACCCCAAGCCCCCCCCCCAAAAGAAGGCAGCACCTGGATCCCGAGGAAGAGCAGAGCTGCATATTTCTTGCAAACTCGCCCCCTCCCTGGCTTGGCAGAGAGGACAAGGGAGGACCCTCTGCTCCCTGACTTGGGGGTCTCCCCCCCCAGGCATGATCTGAGCAGGGACCCCCATGCCCCCTCCCTGCCCCCCTAGGACCCCCTTCTCCCCATTGCACCCTCAGGGGGAGGAGAGAGGAGACTCACCCGAGTCCAGGAGGGTCTTTTGCAAAGGAGAGAGAAGAAAGCGGCCTCCTCTCTGCTTGCATGAAGGGATGTAGGAGGGGGGAATTTAGCCATGGAGGACCTTGCCCCTCACCCTTCACTTCCTATCCTCTCTAGGAATCCCGCTCTGCTCCTTTTAACCCTTGCCAAGCCGAGTCCTCCCTCCCTCTCCCTGCCTTCATGAAAAAGGAAGGGGAAGACCAGGATGGTGGAGAGAGGGGACCAGACTCCAGTTCAGAGCCAGAGGGACCCCGGCCTTCCTTTCCCCGCGTTTCCTGCCAGAAAACCAGTTTCTCCTGGGCTCCCAGAACCACATGGAGGCAGGAGACCCATTTCCCACCCCAGAGCAGGGCTGGGCCAATCAGAGGCCTCTGCACTGGGCAGCTGGCCAATCCCCTTTCAGATTCCCCTGGGCCTCCTCCTCTCCTTCGCCCAGTTTCCTGAGGGAGTTTTCCCCCTGAGTTTCCCTCTTGGCTGCTCCCCCTCCCAGCTTCTCCTTCATTTCTCCTTCCTTCTCTTCCTGTTTCTCTTCTCCCTCATTATTTGGGGGCAGCTGGATTCCCCCAATGGCCAGGCAGGCCCAGGAGGAGCGCATGGTGGCAGCAGGGCCAGGAGAAGGCGTTTCCCGCCCTTTTCCGAAATAGGAGGGGACGCCATTTTGTTTTTTCCCTGAGACGCCATGGCTCCTCTGTGGGCCTCGGGGTCCCGCGCTCTCGGGGTCTCTCCTCCCGGATGAAGGAGGGCGGCACCTTTGGTCCTCAGCCGCCTTCCTGCCATGATGGCTTGGCCTCCGCAGGGCAGCCTCTCTCCTCGCCATGTTGGCCCCACGGAGGAGGCCTCTCTGTTGGGAGACGCCAGGCAAGCGGCCTTGGGGGATCCGCCAGGGTCTGCGCCAGGACAGGCAGCAAGGAGGGAAAGCCCCTCTCTGTCTCAGAGGCCCAAGGAGGAGAAGAATAACAGTAGTAGTAGTAGTAATAATAATAATGGCTTTATCCCCTCAAAGGTGGAGGGTTCCCTCAGGGGAGTTTGACCCCGGAGCAGCATCCTTGGTCACCCCAAGAGTCAGCGCAAGCAGAAGGGCACCACCTGCAGGCCTAGGGGAAAAGGGGGACTCTTCCCCAGACAAGACTGGAGACTCCCCTGCTGGCCCCAGGAGCCCTTTCTGGATGGCCCTCGCTTGCCCCCCAAATGGGCCAAGACCTCTGTTCTTCCCCCTCAGGCAGTAGTTGAACAGGAGAAGTCGCTCCCCACTCCTGATCCCTGCGGGTCTCAGGAGGCAGTGGGGGGACTCTAGGGAACTGGCTGAACTGGGGTCCTCCCAGTCCAGCCCAGACAAGAAAGAGAGGGAGCTCAGAAGAGGAAGCCATTGCGGAGAAGAACTGGACTTGGTTGTTCTCTGCTGAGGGTCTCCTGCCTTTCTTCCAAGGCTTCCCAGGGGCTGCCATGGCCAGAGGAGAGAGGTCCCCCACCCTGAATCCCCTGCAGGGCCCTGGGGGGAAGGCAGATCTCTTCCTCTTGCCATGGAAAAGCATGTCTCAGTTTCCTTCCCCAAGGCTTTGGAGGAACCTTGGGGTGCGGAAGGAGGAACCCCAAATGGAGTTCAGGCTCCTGGCAAGTGGGGAAAGGAACATTAAATGGCGCTTTCCAGATGAGTCTCAATACAATACGATAATCTTTATTGTCATTGTCCCATACAGAACAACGAAATTGAAAAAATGTACATCAGACATTCAAAAACCAACAAGTCTGCTATCCCAACCTGGTTAGCCCCCTAAAACTCTGATACCCCATAATTAAATACAACATACTCCCAAAGAGACTACCTTACACTGCATTTAAAACCAAAATTGCATTTGGATAGAAACTGTTTTTCAGGCAGCTAGTCCTAGTCTTTATAACCCTGTACCTTCTTCCAGAAGGCAGAAGCTGAAAGAGATCATTTCCGGGGTGCGCACTATCCTGCACTATCTCTGCAGCTTTCTTATCTAGCACCTTCTGCAAATGCCTGGAGGGCCATGAGTAGTATGCATGAAAACATCAATGCTAAATTGAGCAGATACCTGGAGGCAGTGCGGATTATTTTGGGGGGCTTCACTCACACAGATGTGAGGGCATTACTCCCAAAATCCCATCAGCACATTGAGTGTGCAATAAGGGGAGAAAGTACTCTTGAGAAGGTGTATACGAACATTAGACGGGCATATGAGGCGCACCTCGGTGGTTCAGATCCTGTGTCCCTGCTTCTGACACCAGTGTACACACCCCTCAGGAAACAAGGCCAGCTACAAACACGGATGGTTACGGTGTGGCCTGAGGGAGCCTCTCAGCAGTTGCAGGACTGTTTCCAGGAGACCGATTGGAATATATTCGACCATCAAGATCTAGAAACTTCTACATCAACAGTCCTGGATCGAGGACCATCTAAGAAATGATACTAGACAAATGTGGCAGGGAGTTCAACATCTGACTGGTTATAAATCGAGAAATACATCAGTAGTAGAGAGTACGGCTTCCTTGGTGGGAGAGTTGAAGACCTTCTTTGAGGTGACACCAACTGTGGCTCCAACAGGGATGGCAGAGCTATTGGCCTCACTACCTGCAGAAAATGCTGTCAGGGTGGAAGAGGGAGAAGTGAGGCGAATATTAAAGGAGGTAAACACGAGGAAGGCTATGGGCCCAGATGGGGTGGCTGGCAGGGTGCTAAGAGATTGTTTGGACCAACTGGCAGGAATCTTTATGAAGATTTTTAACCAGTCTCTGGCCCAAGCAGCCGTTCCACCCTGTCTGAAATCTGCTCCCATCATTCTGGGCACCACAGTTCAAGAAGGACACTGACAAACTGGAACGTGTCCAGAGGAGGCAACCAAAATGGTCAAAGGCCTGGAAACAAGGAAAGCTCTTCGTTCACAAGGACAGCGTCACTTCACATGAAAGAACTAACGGGGGGAAGAAATTAGTGCTTGAAACGGGAGGAAAGCTTCCTTCGCAGCTCCATTCTCAATTCCCATGAGATACTTCATCCAGGGGAGTGTTTGGAAAAAGTTTCATGCAGGTCAGAAACCGGATCAGTGCTTGGAATGTAGAAAGAGCTTCATTCTGTTGGTGAATCCAATTTTCCATGAAATATTTCCTACAGGGGACTGCTTAGAATGCTTAGAAAAAGCTTCACCTAGGAAACCAGTCTCAATTTCCATTAAATAAAACACAGCAGGGATAATCAGAGCATCTTAGCAAATGGTATAAGCCATATGGTATTTCTGGTGTCAGGGAACTTGATGAGCAATGAAGGGGAGAGATAGCGTTGACCCGGAGGAAGGCAGGAATCCAGGCTCCAGAGTCCCAGAATGGCCAGGGGCCCCCCAAGGGGCATCTGTCCCACCCCCTGGGGGAACCCCGCTCACCTTCTTGGGGTCTCCGGCTGCCTCTCCTTCCTCCATGGCTGCCTCTCTCCTCTCTCTCCCAAACCCACGTGGAAAGCCAGGCAGCCGGCTCTTCCGGGTTCCTCCTCCGCCTCGACCAATCGCCGCGCACAGAGCGCCCAGCTCTCCACCAATCGCCGCGCGAGGGGGGCCGTCCCGGAAATGAAGCCACCGCGGAGGCCTAGGAGGCGCTCTGAGAAAGGGGAGAGGCCATGTTGGGTCAGGGCAGCCGGTTCTTCCATGTTTGGAGCGGGAGGAAGGGCCCGCGGCCATCTTGAATGAGGGCACTTTTGTGCCGGATTCTTATGTATAGATACATACATAGCTATGTACATATTATATATATATAATAGTTTAATATAGATAGGGAATTGATAGACGTAGGTGGTATATGGATATACGGCAGCTGCCGGGTGCCCCCCTTGGTTAGGCCTGTGATGGACAGCAGAGCCAGGCCAGTCAGCGGACTTAGTCCCACAGAAATTCCCCCAGGGGGCGGGAGCCTCGCTCTGATTGGCTGCCAAGCCAGCGGGGGTGGAGCCAGCCCTTTTGGCGGGAAAAGGCAAGGCGCCTTTTCTGAGGGGGGAGCTTGGAGGGGAAGGTGGGGAGGAGAGGAAGAGGAGTCAGGCGGGAGTTCAAGGGGAGAAGCTGGGGGGAGGGAAGGGAGACCCCCAAGAAGGAGGGCTGAGGGGCCCCTGGGTGTGGGGGGGGAGGGAAGGGAGACCCCCAAGAGGAGGGCTGAGGGGACCCCCTGGGTGTGGGGGGCGGAGGGAGAGGGGGAGGGAAGGGAGACCCCCAAGAAGGAGGGCTGAGGGGGCCCCCTGGGTGTGGGGGGCGGAGGGAGAGGGGGAGGGAAGGGAGACCCCCAAGAAGGAGGGCTGAGGGGGCCCCCTGGGTGTGGGGGGCGGAGGGAGAGGGGGAGGGAAGGGAGACCCCCAAGAAGGAGGGCTGAGGGGGCCCCCTGGGTGTGGGGGGCGGACTGAGAGGGGGAGTGGAGGGAGACCCCCAAGAAGGAGGGCTGAGGGGACCCCCTGGGTTTGGGGGGCGGACTAAGGGGGGGAGCGGAGGGAGACCCCCAAGTCTGAATGGGACACGACTCAGTCCAGGAAGGAGAGGAAGAAGGGGCAGAAATGGAGTCCAGCATTTGAGCACCATGTCTAGAAAGCGGAACATCGTCCTGAGAAGAGAAGCTGCGCCTGGACTTCTGCCTTTAATGCCCTGACAGCCTCCAAGTTGAGGCAAGAAGTTGACTTCTGCCTGAAAGTACCTGAAACTGTTCTTAAGCTGAGGTACCACTTGAGCTAATGGGGCCTCCTGCTGCTGCCGCCACCACACAATTTCTGTTCTCATCCTGAAACAAAGTTCTTAACCTGAGGTAATATTTCTGGGTTAGCGGAGTCGGTAACCTGAAGCGTCTGTAACGTGAGGTACCACTGTATTACTATTCTCCTCCTTGGGCCTCTGAGACAGAGAGGGGCTTTCCCTCCTCGTCTCCCAATGGAGAGGCCTCCTCCGTGGGGCAACATGGCGAGGAGAGAGGCTGCCCTGCAGAGGCCAAGCCATCATGGCAGGGAGGCGGCTGAGAAGAAGAAGAAGAAGAAGAGTTTGGATTTGATATCCCGCCTTTCACTCCCCTTCAGGAGTCTCAAAGTGGCTCACAATCTCCTTTCCCTTCCTCCCCCCCAACAAACACTCTGTGAGGTGAGTGGGGCTGAGAGACTTCAGAGAAGTGTGACTGGCCCAAGGTCACCCAGCAGCTGCAGGTGGAGGAGCGGAGACGCGAACCTGGTTCCCCAGATTACGAGACTACCGCTCTTAACCACTACACCACACTGGCTCTCAAAGAGGACCAAAGGTGCCGCCCTCCTTCATCCGGGAGGAGAGACCCCCGAGAGCGTGGGACCCCCGAGGCCCACAGGGGAGCCATGGCGTCTCTGGGAAAAACAATATGGCGTTCCCGCCTTTTTTGGACAAATGCAATCTCCTGGCCCTGCCGCTTCCATGGGCTCCTCCTGGGCCTGCCTGGCCATGGGGGGGGGGGGGAATCCAGCTGGCCCAAAATACTGGGGGGGGGGGAGAGAAACAGGAAGAGAAGGAAGGAGAAATGAAGGAGGACCTGGGAGGGGGAGCAGCCATGAGGGAAACTCAGGGGGAAAACTCCCTCAGGAAACTGGGCGAAGGAGAGGACGAGACCCAGGGGAATCTGAAAGGGGATTGGCCAGCTGCCCAATGCAGAGGCTTCTGATTGGTCCAGCCCTGCTCTGGTGTGGGAAATGGGGTCAGATGGTTCTGGGAACCCAGTAGAAACTGGTTTTCTGGCAGGAAACACAGAAAGGATGGCAGGTGTCCCTCTTCCTTTGAACTGGAGTCCGGAGTCAGCTCTGTCAGACTTCTTTCTGGAATAAGAAACGCCCTCCTTTCCTGCTGGGTCTCAAACAGGGGCAAGTCAAGCTCAACGCCACCTCCAACCCCCTCCCCACTTGAAAAGCACCACTTTGAGAAGCAGCAACTCTCAAATACAAAGAAATCAGCACCTCCACCTGCTAACATTCCCCCCCCCGGCTTGGTATTCAGGGAGGGCTTTTCTTAGCCCCTCATCCCCCCCCCAATTCAAAATAAGGGCAGGCTGGCTGGAGACCCTTCCCTCCAACCCCCTTACCATTATTTAATGGCATCCCAGTTATATGTATTACTCTTGTCCCAAAAAGAGCCTCAGCTTCAGGGGTTCTTCTGAATGAGCTGCCAGGAGAAGGCGCCTGAGCCTGACTCTCCAGTGGCAGAAGGTTCCCTAGGACACTCCAGGCTCAACGTGGGTCAAACGCTGAGGAAAACTTCTTGGAGCAACTTTTGGGAAAAGGGGAATACATGTAACCAGGATGCCATTATATAACGGTAAGGGGGTTGGGAAATAGGAGTGCCTGATCACCTCTTCTGTCTCCTGAGAAATCTCTATGTGGGACAAGAAGCTACAGTTAGAACTGGATATGGAACAACTGATTGGTTCAAAATTGGGAAAGGAGTACGGCAAGGCTGTATATTGTCTCCCTGCTTATTTAACTTATATGCAGAATTCATCATGCGAAAGGCTGGGCTGGATGAATCCGAAGCCGGAATTAAGATTGGCGGAAGAAATATCAACAACCTCAGATATGCAGATGACACAACCTTGATGGCAGAAAGTGAGGAGGAATTAAAGAACCTTTTACTGAGGGTGACAGAGGAGAGCGCAAAATATGGTCTGAAGCTCAGCATCCAAAAAACGAAGATCCTGGCCACTGGTCCCATCACCTCCTGGCAAATAGAAGGGGAAGAAATGGAGGCAGTGAGAGATTTTGCTTTCTTGGGCTCCAGGATCGCTGCAGATGGTGGCAGCAAAATAGAGCCCATAATCCCAGGATCTCTGAAATGAACAAATAAATGCACAGGGTGGTCCAGATTGAACTCTTCCACGGATAAACGTTTGCCACGTCCAAAATGGAAAGCAAGAGCAGAGCAGGGTCCTCCAAACATCCGCAGGGGGTTGGGATCTAGGCATTCAGCTGCCCAAGGCACTTGCTAAGACCTAGATCTGGGCTCCTTGGGGCAAATGGGGGCGGGGAGGGCAGGCTCTAAGCGCAGCAGGAGATCTGCCCGCAGGCAAAGGGAAGGGCAGGCTCGGTGCGCTCGGTTTTGCAAGGGTTAAAAGGAGCAGAGCTGGATTCCTAGAGAGGATGGGAAGTGAAGGGGGGGAAGGTCCTCCATCGCTCAATTCCCTCCCTGCCCCATCCCTTCCTGCTTTCTTCTTTCTCCTTTCCCCTTCTGGAATCCGGTGAGTCCCCTCTTTCCTCCCTCGGAGGGTCCCAGGAGGGCAGGGAGGGGGCATGGGGGTCCCTTCTCAGATCATGGGCGGCGGGGGGGGGGAGACCCCCAAGTCAGGGAGCAGAGGGTCCTCCCTTGTCCCCTCTGCCAAGCCAGGGAGGGGGGGAGATCGCAGGAGGACTGCAGCTCTGTTCTTCCTTGGGATCCAGATGCTGCCTTCATTTTTGGGAGGGGGCTTGGGGTCAAGGAAAACTGGGCAGGTAAAGAAACCCCCTTCAGGTTTAGGGATTATTATGGTGTGGAATGGGACGCGGGTGGCGCTGTGGGTTAAACCACAGAGCCTAGGACTTGCCGATCAGAAAGTCGGTGGTTCGAATCCCCGCAATGACAGGGTGAGCTCCCGTTGTTTGTTCCCAGCTCTTGCCCACCTATCAGTTCAAAAGCGCGTCAAAGTGCAAGTAGATAAATTGGTACCACTCAGGTGGGAAGGTAAATGGTGTTTCCATGCGCTGCTCTGGTTGGCCAGAAGTGGCTTAGTCATGGTGGCCACATTTATACAAGGATTAAGACCCATCATTAAAATACACAACAAAATTGTTCCATTAAGATACTGAAATAAGCATGCAAGAAAATAATAGTATTAAAACAATGCAGCTATTAAGAGGCAGAAAACAACAGAGCAATGTGTAGAAAAATATCATCTTTCTTCTCCCTTTTTCTCTTAGGGTCGTGTGCTTTGAAGACGTAGCTGTTCCTTTCACAGACGAGGACTGGGCTTTGCTGGATCCTGACCAGAGAGCTCTGCAGAAGGAAGTCAAGGAGGAGAATCCTGGGATCGTGGCCTCTCTGGTAAGGCTCCCTGCTGGATCATGAGATCAGTTTTGAAATTCCATACAGATCTCTGAAGGACAAACCTCCTCTATTTTGAGGGAGCCCCATAGCACCACCTGCAGCATCTGAAATGTTAACACATCCACAACTCTCCATAGGAGATGTATCTCCTGTTTTGTCTGGGAATATTCTTCCACCAGTCCTGCCTTTTCAAACCAGGATGAGGCTGCTCTCAGCTGCCCAGGCCTTCTTCCATGTAGGCTTCAGAGATCTTAGGGGCGTGGAGGTACATCCTGTCAAATTCTCTTTTTCTCAATTTTTTCCCTCAAAAAGGCAGTAATTCATTTCCCTTCTTCCTCTTTCACAAGCAGTCATTTGCATTGTTCAATCATTTCAGGCTCAATTTCTTCCTCAGCCTAAACATAATAATACTAATACTGCCATATAACAGCAGATTGTAGGTGGTGAATTGGAGAGGAAGAAGAATCGAGACAACCAAGAGAATCCACACAATGGAGAAACCATATAAATATTCAGAGTGTGGAGAGAACTTTAGTCAGAGCTCCCAGTCCACTTCCCATCAAGGAAAGCTCTTCGTTCAGAAGGAGAGACTCACTTCACATGAAAGAACTAACGGGGGAAGAAATTAGTGCTTGAAATGGGGGAAAAGCTTCATTCGCAGCTCCACCCACAGTTCCCATGAGATACTTCATACAGGGGAGTGTTTGGAAAAAAATCAGTTTCTATTAAATAAATCACAGCAAGGATAATCACAGAATTTTAGGAAATGGTATAAGGCATATGGTATTTCTGGTATCAGGAAACTTGATGAGGAATTAAGGGGAAAGACAGTGTTGACCCAGAGTAGTTACAAAATTAATGTTCTCTCCCCGAGTGCCACAGACCCTCCTCCAAAGAGAGCTTCTCTAAGAAAGCACAAGCAGAAATTACTCCATTTTACGTGAATAAGGAAAAAGAGGAGGTGGCTAAGAAACAGCAGGAGCCAGATCCTATTACTGACCTTATAGGATCTCTCAGCAGCTCCAAGGATGAGCAGAAAGAGGTTTTGGGTCCAGCCAGCTCAACTGCTAAGTCATCTCTGGCACTGAGACCAGGAGCTCAAGCGACTCAAGGCCAAATTCAGGCTAAACAAGTAGAGGAACTAATCTGAAAGCAAAATTCAGAACTATCCTCAGGAAATGCTAATACAAGGATAAAAGACTCCTTCTCCCAAGCCTCTGGTGCAAATGAGGAATTATCCGTCATTGGGTGACTTGTACTACTAACAAGGGACATAGAATGCATAAAATCCTTTTTGGCTGACACTAATAAAATTCTTACCATCCTGATAGGTACTTGTAAAACCTTCTGGAATAAAGTCTGGCAGAGAGTGTGGAACCGGATAATACAACAATATCTCTTTCCCTACCATTAAAAATAGATCAATAAGGGAGGTTTAATTCGTCCACATGGCAAAAGGAGGTCTATAAGTACAAAGAAGAGCAAAAATGTTTAAAAAAATTAAAATAATGCAATATTAAAAAGTTAACTTAAAAATACATTCTAACTTACTTAAGAGTAGCTCATGCTCTGGGTCCAGACAGAACACTTAAGAAGCTTGTACTGTACAGTGGTATCTTGGGTTAAGTACTTAATTCGTTCCAGATGTCCGTTCTTAACCTGACACTTTTCTTAACCTGAAGCACCACTTTAGCTAATGGGGCCTCCTGCTGCTGCCGTGCCGCCAGAGCATGATTTCTGTTCTCATCCTGAAGCAAAGTTCTTAACCCGAGGTACTATTTCTAGGTTAGCGGAGTCTGTAAACTGAAACGTATATAACCTGAAACATATGTAACCCGAGGTACCACTGTACTGGAATCTGCACACCAGATCCTTATATCAATATGAAACGATATGCAAGGTTATCAAATGCTCTGCTCTCCTGTCAGAAGCCAAAACCAAACCAACTAGGGAGAGGGTTTTGATAAGCAAGAATTGGAAATGGGCGCTGTCTCAAAATAAGCTACTTCTCTCAAGCTACCCTAAGCCTTTAGGGATCTTCTCACAAGAGGAGCGTAAAGTTTGTGAATATAGTGTATAAATGCAGAGAATATCTAAGGAGGAGTGGTGTATTAGTCTCAAGATTATTCCAAAATGTGGCATCACCAGCTCCTCTGCTTCCACATTCAGCAACACCCCAAAAAGTCCTCAATTCAAGGCAGACTATTATCCTTTAGTTGACATATACTCTGCAGGTAACAATCCTGACTAGTCAGCTGACCTGGACCCCAAGGAACCCCCTAACTCAGACAGCCCTGGGAAGGACCTACTTGACAGAACTGAAAAGAATTGATTGCATGTCTTCTGTGCTCTGCCATAAGAAGCCCAGAATGAAATACTCTCAGATTTGACCTCTGACGTTCCTGCCTAATAAGTTTGAAGAAGGAACACAAGGGCTGATGCAAGCAGAACTTGACCCTTTGTGCTCCAGATCCAGCCCACCAGAACGAACCCTCTTTCCCCGAAGATTTGGTCCCCATGCAAGAGGGAAATATGGCCAAAACACCTGCCTGGCTTGCAATGAGAGAGCTCAAAGAGCGTCAACAGGACTCTCCATCGAAAGCACCAAGCATGGGGCCACTTACATGTATTAGCTACTCGTCTGTTTTCTGCCCATGCTCTGGGGTTGCAGTTTTCAGGCTTAGGGACAGGATGGTAACTCGTTTTGGCACCAAGTTCTGTCCATAAGCCCCAATGAGTTCAATGGGATCTACTCTCAGGTCACTACTGGACAGACCATGCCAGCCTTACAAAGTGGGGTGAGGAGCAAAGAGCTGAAATTGGAATTGTTTAGAAATGGGGCTTTTGAGGCTTCTGGTTCCGGTCTGCCTTAATGGATGCCGCTCCCACGATAGCAGAGATCGTTAGCAAATAATAAACAGATGATTTGAGGGTAATTGTCCTCAATTAAGGCTGCGTGCTGGAACAGATGGAACAAGATAATAAACCGCTAAATTTAGACAGATACAAAGCTGAAACAATTTGAACTGGAAAGGAAAATGTATGTTGTTGGGGAGGGGGAGCCTTTACTCTTTCTTTATATATATATATCATGTTTGTAACATAAATGATTCGGCAGCACACACACCTCGAATGCTAACAAACTGATAAAAAGCAAGAGGAGATAAAAGCGAATGGGATTATATTTATGGATTACAACAGAAAAGCGAACTATGTGATAAAATTGAAATGGATTCAAACCTCAAACGTTCACTGTATTGCTATGGAAGGAAATGGAGTTTAGTTTTGATGATCAGCCAAGGCTTGGGGACAGGATGGTGACTGGTTTTGGCACCAAGTTCTGTCCATAAGAACCATTGAATTCAATGGGATCTACTCTCAGGTCACTACTGTGCAGAACATATCAGCCTTGCGAAGTGAGGAGCAAACAGGGGAAACTGCAACCACTGGAGATGTTTAGAAATGGGGCTTCTGTTGGGAAGGGGCTGCCCCATTTGGGCTTCTCCAGGGGCAGGAGAATATCTAGGGCAGGAGAATGCCTGCAGGGCCTCTGAGGCTCACTTTGCTTCTTCCTCTCTCCCCGGACCCTGCAGCTTCTTTTGGCTCCTTGACTCCTCAGGAAGGATGAGTGAGACGGATCCTGCAAAGCTAGAGGAGATGGAAGAGGGAAGATGGACGCATGACCTGGTCCGGCTGTCTCCTGCATCCCTCCCCACAACCTCTGAGCGTTCCCTCCCAGGGACCTCCGAGAGATCTGGTGAGTCCCAGGGGAGGGGAGATGGGGAAATGGATGGATGGAGCCAGAGAGGAATTGGGGCTTCCTCAGCTTGGGGGTGGGGGGAGGCAGGCAGGCGGATGGAGATGGAGAAGGGGAGCACCTTTTCGGGCTCCCCCACCTGCCTGCCTGCCCGTTCCTTTGTCATCTGCAGGCAATTTCAGCTAGGAATAGATCACAACTCCCCAGTCACCGCGATGTGTTGGCAGCTCAAAAGGTCTAAAATCAGTTCTGTGATCTGAATGCCTTACCAATGTCCAACACTGATCCGTCGCGCAGCACTAGAACCCACAACTCTTTTTTAAAAAAATTGGTTTTCACATATTGTTTTGCAATACAGATGTACCAAAGCCAACACCATTTCCTCCCCATCCCCCCCATACATTTACATTTCTATTTCCTCAATCCATCATATTATTCTTTTCTCCATCCTCAAACTTCCCTCCGCCCCATCGCGCAGCACTAGAAGCCACGAGTCTTGAAAGGAACCTGATCCTGCTTTGCAGATTGAACGCAGATGAGGCCTCCATGTATTTTTCTTTTCTTTTCTTTTTGGAATAACTTTTTATTTGCTTTTAAAAACAAGGAACATAGGAATAATAAAACATGTAGACCAAGTCTTCTCATGTCATTTCTATGTAAAATAGCAGAATAAATTTGCCGGAATATCTATAACATATAGTTCATCATTAGTGGTCAGTCTATGAGTTCTGGGTTCATGAATTGCTTTCAACTGAAACAAAAAAAGGGGAAACAGGAGAGAACAGAGAACATTCAACATCGCAGAGCCAAATGCCTAGACTGAAGCTATTGTGGCCGTTGTGCTTAGATTAAGTGAGTAATAGTCATTTTTCCTCTTCTGTTACCAATGAAACAATACAGAGTTGGTTTCATCATGAAAATGGGAGGCAGGGGTTCAAAGTGAAGAAAGAGATTTACGTATAAATTTAAATTTTGACCAACCAGATTGAGATAACTTCTGATGGGGAGTGTTCAGGTGAAGATGTTGCTGTTTGTTTCACAGAAGAGGCGTGGACGTTGCTGGATCCTGACCAGAGAGCTCAGCATAAATAATAATAATAATAATAATAATAATAATAATAATAATAATAATAACAACAACAACAACAACTCTGGGCAGCTCCCCCCCCCAAAAAAAATTAAAATACTGTACTACATCAAACATTAAAAGCCTCCCTAAACAGGGCCGCCTTCCGATGTCTTCTTAAAGTCTGGTAGTTGTTGTCCTCTTTTACATCTGGTGGGAGGGCATTCCACAGGGAGGGCGCCACTACCGAGAAGGCCCGCTGCCTGGTTCCCTGTAACTTGGCTTCTTGCAGTGAGGGAACCACCAGAAGGCCCTCGGTGCTGGACCTCAGTGTCCGGGTAGAACGATGGTGGTGGAGATACTCCTTCAGATATACTGGACCGAGGCCATTTAGGGCTTTAAAGGTCAGCACAAACACGTTGAATTGTGCTTGGAAATGTATTGGGAGCCAATGTAGGTCTTTGAAGACCGGTGTTATGTGGTCTCAGCGGCCGCTCCCAGTCACCAGTCTAGCTGCCGCAATCTGGATTAGTTGTAGTTTCTGAGTCACCTTCAGAGGTAGCCCCACGTAGAGCGCATTGCAGTAGTCCAAGCAGGAGATAACCAGAGCATGCACCACTCTGGCGAGACAGTACATGGGCAGGGAGGGTCTCAGCCTGCGTACCAGATGGAGCTGGTAAACAGCTGCCCTGGACACAGATTTGACCTATGCCTCCATGGACAGCTGTGAGTGCAAAATGACTCCCGGGCTGCACACCTGGTCATTCAGGGGCAAAGTTACCCCATTCAGGACCAGGGAATCCTCCACACCTGCCTGCCTCCTGTCCCCCCAAAACAGTACTTCTGTCTTGTCATGGTTCAGCCTCAATCTGTTAGCCGCCATCCATCCTCCAACCGCCTCCAGACACTCACACAGGACCTTCACCACCCTCACTGGTGATTCACTGATTTAAAAGAGAGGTAGAGCTGGGTATCATCCGCATACTGATGAACACCCAGCCCAAACCCCCTGATGATCTCTCCCAGCGGCTGCATGTAGATGTTGAAAAGCATGGGGGAGAGGACAGAACCCTGAGGCACCCCACAAGTGAGAGCCCAGGGGTCTGAACACTCATCCCCCACCACCACTTTATGAACACGGCCCAGAAGGAAGGAGCGGAACCACTGTATGACAGTGCCCCCAGCTCCCAGCCCCTCAAGACGGTCCAGAAGGATGTTATGGTCGATGGTATCAAATGCCTCTGAGAGATCCAGCAGAACTAGGAAACAGCTCTCACCTTTGTCTCTAGCCCGCCGGAGATCATCAACCAGTGCGACCAAGGCAGTTTCAGTCCCATGATGAGGCCTGAATCCCGACTGGAAGGGATCCAAATGGTCCGCTTCTTCCAGGCGTGCCTGGAGTTGTTCAGCAACCACTCGCTCGATCGCCTTGCCCAAGAATGGAAGATTTGAGACTGGGCGATAGTTGGCCATTGTGGCCACATCTAAAGATGGTTTTTTAAGAAGCGGTTTAATAATCGCCTCTTTCAGCGGGTCTGGGAAGGCTCCCTCACGGAGGGAAGCATTCACCACCCCACGAAGCCCATCACCCAGCCCTTCCCGGCTAGCTTTTATAAGCCAGGATGGGCAAGGATCCAGGAGACAGGTGGTTGGTTTCACTCGTCCAAGCAGCCTGTCCACATCCTCGAAGGTAACAGATTGGAATTGATCCCACACAATTTGACTAGACAGGACTCTAGCACTCTCCCGCTCCGACCCTGCTCCCATGGTGGTGTCTACCTCTTCCCGAATCTGAGCGACTTTAACTGCAAAAAACTTTGCAAAATCATTACAGGAGATCATGTGGCCCTTGCTGGGCCCCGATGTAACAGGTGGTTCTGCTAAATTGTGAACCACCTGAAAAAGTCTCCTGCTGCTGTTTTCTGCAGATGCCATAGAGGCGGTGAAGAAAGTCTTCTTCGTCGTCGCTACCGCCACTTGGTAGGCTCGACATTGAGCTCTAACCCGTGTCTCTCAGTAAGGATCCCTGTTGGATCATAACATGTTGTGATTGGAGATGGAGTGGATTCCATGATTGAGCCACAAAAATATCCATCCCAGATAAAAGCCAAGCAATATCTCAGTTAATACCAGGAAACAAAAACAGTGAAAACTATTGGACGGCCTCACATCTCATTCTCTTCATTTTTTTTTAATTTTTATTGGTTTTTACAACATAAAAGAACAAAAACACATACAAACAAAACACGACTTCCCCATACCTCCCCTTCACTGCATCCTTGTTTTAAATTTTTTTTAGCAATCCTTCAATCCATTTTTATACTTAACTTTCTTTAAATTTTCTTAAGCTTAAACTTTAACAGCTGTAATTCTCTGTTTCTTACCCCTTGACATCTTAACATTCCAAAATTTTACAACAGTTCTTAAGGTATACTTTAAATTTTTTCCAGTCCTCTTCCACTGTCTCTTTCCTCTGGTCACGGATTCTGCCGGTCATCTCTGCCAGTCCCTTAAATTCAATCACCTTCGTCTGCCATTCTTCCAGAGTAGGTAATTCTTGCGTCTTCCAATACTTTGCCAGAAGAATTCTTGCTGCTGTAGTTGCATACATAAAAAATGTCCTATCCTTCTTTGGAATCAATTGGCCGACCATGCCCAAGAGAAAAGCCTCCGGTTTCTTTACAAATGTCCACTTAAGGATTTTCTTGATTTCATTATAGATCATTTCCCAGTAGGCCTTAAGAGAGTCTGTGTACTGGTCCAGTAAACGCTTCCGCTGCGCAACCAGCAACAGTTCTCTTTGCAGAGCATTAATTAAGTCCAGTGCAGAGATTCTTGTTGCAGTACAAGCTTCAGAGTCTCAGCAGCAAAGAAATAACGACACAGGGAAGCCTGTCTTTCCAAAGTCACAGAAGAGGCGTGGACGTTGCTGGATCCTGACCAGAGAGCTCAGCATAATAATTAATATATAATAATAATAATAATAATAATATAATATAATAATAATAAATTTATTATTTATACCCGCCATCTGGCTGGGCTTCCCCAGCCACTCTGGGCAGCCTTCCCCCCAAAAAAATTAAAATACTGTACTACATCCAACATTAAAAGCCTCTCCTAAACAGGGCCGCCTTCCGATGTCTTCTTAAAGTCTTAGTTGTTGTCCTCTTTTACATCTGGTGGGAGGGCATTCCACAGGGAGGCGCCACTACGAGAAGGCCCGCTGCCTGGTTCCCTGTAACTTGGCTTCTTGCAGTGAGGAACCACCAGAAGGCCTCGGTGCTACTAGTGTGCCGGTATAAACGATGTGGTGAGTTACTCCTTTATACATGGCGACGAGCCATTAGGCTTTAAATATTCATGCCATTCACATCCTCTTATCCTAATTCAGTGATCTTGCGCTGAAGACTCAATGATGATGAGTGGGCCCATGCCAAGACGGTAAGACGATCATTAATCATCTGACAAACTTGCTCTCTTGCCGCTACCATCTAGTCAATGTGACTGTGAGTCTCTCAGGGCGCTTAAGCGATAAAACTATGAACACTATCGCGTCAGCGTGTGCGTTAGTTGTCTCAGTGCGAGATCTCCCATAGATGGGGCGTGGTTCGCCCAGAGCAATATGAATAGCAGAAGAACAAGTGATATCTCTTAGCCATATCCCGCCTGTATTTATTCAGTCAGCTAAATGCAGCCAGAGAGAGGCTTGGAGCAACTCTCTGGCCTTCTTGTGCGATACCACCACTGTCTGGCGACTCAGGCGTATCCGATGGCCGGGTGAGAAGGTCTTCTCGCCCCGCCAGTATCGCGAGTGGTAACACCCGCCCCGAGATCCGTCTATTCGACACCTTTCGCTCCTCATGTGCATGGCTCAGTTCCGCTAGCGCGGCTGCACTGAATGACTCCCGGTGCACACCACTGGTCATTTAGGCCA